GAGTTGTAGTAGAGAAAACTATAAGATTATAATCTAAATGTAAATTAAAATTGTAACATTTTTAACAAGAGGACTTACTTGTGCCAGGCTGCGTCAAGTTCTTGGCATGCTTGATCTCATGTAATCCATCTTTGGAGGAGGCAAGAATTATTTGCCCCAGAAAGATAAAGAAATAGAGCTTCAGAGAGGTTAAGAAGCTTGCCTAAGTTTGTACAGTTGATAATTAGTAAGAAGGCATTCAAAACCAAATTATCTCTTTCCCACAACCATGCTAGCCACTCCTCACATTGTGCCCCTTAGGGGGCAGGGGACTAGGGAGGATCCCATTTTTCTTGTCTTGGTCATTCCCAGGTAATCTTCCTACCCAAAGCTCTGAGAAGTGCATTGAGGAAGTGTCTGGTGTCCTTTGCATTTAATGAACCCTCTTCAGCCTCAGAATTTGCTGAGCTTTGCAGACAAGATCATGGTAGTCCCCCCAGCCCAACAGCCAGAGCTTGGGAGCTGGACCAGACGGGCATGTCCTTTCCTAAACCCTGGTGCCTATGCAGTGAGTAAACATACCTTTCACATGCATCTCTGATGGGCTCAGTTTGATGGATTATGTAAGAGCAGCCCAAATCCCAGAGGATTTGAAAATGATAAAGTGCCAAGCTGGGTGAAGATGCAGAAGGAGAGACAGGTCTGGAGTGGCAGCTGTGGGAGGCTTGGCTGAGTGGCCTGATCTGGACCAGGAATTGGGTGGATCTGGAAAAGAAACACAGGGAAGAGATCCATGGCACAGGTGCAGGTGGGGCAGCAGGAATAGGGACAGAGATATGGTGAAGCTCAGATGCTGAAGTCAGAAGGGCCTGGCTGCCATTCTGTCCACACATCAGCTAGCTCTGCGACTTGACTTGAGATTTTTTAAGCTTGGCTTTTAATGGAGTTTACTGTAGAAACATCTGCATTAAGTCTACCTTGACTCCACGGGGCTGCCAGGCATTTCCTCTTCCATTATTCTGGAAGACATACATCTGACCACCAGACCAGGCCCTTTAGAAGCCCTAAGTGGTAAAAAGATTATATATCCCAAATATACATAAAAACATACTAAACAAAAAGTATAAAACTTGTATGAATGCCAAGGTTAAAGTACATTCTTTCCTTCACTCCCTGTATACATCCAAAATCCTGGATCACATTTTTCATTAAATCTAAACTTCTTTTTCTAACAGTTTTGGCATTCTTGCTTTTTTAATATCTGATGAGATCAAGCATGTTTAGGGTGGTCTGACCACAGATGCTTTTTAATATCTGTAGTGCCAGAAGCAAGTCCCCATTTTGCCTTCTGGATTGTCTAGCCCAAGGGAAAGTTGTGGGTGGGAGAATGAACAAATCACTTCAGTGGAAGCAGCGCAGCCCTGGGCTCTTGGGCCTTTAGCCAGACAGTGGGCCAGGCCAGGTCGTGCTTCCTCCTTCTTCAGGTAGGTATCTGATGTTCCTCAGCCAGAGCCAAGATGGGGAGCCCAGGTTGGGTTTTCAGTTGTGCCCAGCCAGCAGGCCTTCCTGGCTTTTCCTACTTGGTAAGCAATGAGCGTAGACTTCACTGTCACTTGGCACCATTGCCAGGGACCGGAAGTAATGTCTTTTACCTGATCGGCAATTTGACATGGCTGTTTAACAACCCGATTAATCAAACCCAGCTCATCCTGTTAGAATTAATGAGCCTAGGAAATGTGGCCATGAATAACGAGGGCTTTCGCCCCTCCTCCAGCACCTCCCTCCACTACCTCCCTCGTATTTCATTCTCAGAGCCATAGAACAGCCACTCCATACCAAGGACTGTTAGGCCCCAGTAGGGATCAAGACTGGCCAGCTATGATCATATCTCCTGCCTTTCCTCCCCAAGACACTATAGTTGCCCACTGGGATCTAGAGGTTGCCTCTTGGTCATCAGACAGATATGCATATGTTCAGCTGTCAAAGTTGTACTGAGGGTCTCACTGTACCAGGCATTGCACTAGATGCGAGGAATGCAGACATGAATAAAATATTGTCCCTATGAGGGGGTCACAGTGTAGTGACCTAGACACAAATGAGGGAGTGTCATGACAGGGGGTATGGGAAGGGCCTAAAGCCACAGCAAAAGGAAGCCTGTCAATATTGGAGGAGCAGAGTGTGGAACTAGGGAGAGTTCCATGGAGCTGAACACCTAAACATTTCTGCCATCAAATTCATTCATTATACATGTATATAGGGAGTGACAAGGCACTGAAAAAGGCGTAAGATGAACATGGTTCCCTGCCAGGTTTCTGTTCTCGCGACTAAAAGGCTCAGGGGTCACTCTAGTTAAACTGGGCTAACTGGGCTGCACGAAATAACCACACAAGAGACACAAATACCTTTATCTTTGGGGTTGCTGTGACGGCTCCTCTGACCTTAAGGGTCCGCAGAAAGAGAGAGAGAGAGAGCACGTGCTGACCCCTTTTATTGAGGAGAAGCTATTCAAATGAGGCAAGGGGTCAGGTTTCAGGGGGCTGAGTCTATCTTCATGATGTCCACTGTCAGCAGGTTGACTGACACCTGGGTAGGCCACACCCAAGGGCACAGTAAGAGGAGGGGACACACACAAGGCACTTCCATGGAAGATTCTATCCTAAACAGGGCGAGGGGTTATATTACAAAGGAACAGGTGAGCATAGCTTCACCCATGGGGCTGTAGCAAGACACACCCATTTCTGTGACTGAGTGCCTCAGCACCCAGCTGGGGAGTGTAACTCAGTCACCCGTAAGGTTGGCCTCCCACAGTTCCCATTCTCACAAAGTGGGAAATGCAGAAAACCTGAGAAGACGCTGATTTATTTTTTCATTTACTCAAACCACAAAAAGCTGTTGAGGACCTTCTGGTGTAGAGCTTGGTACCAGGGGAAACAAGTACAAAGATGTACACATTACTCCTTCCTCCCTGAGTTATTTAGTGCATAGAGAGGTATATGCAGACACATGTAGTTATGTGCTAAGTACTCTAACAGGGATATGCACTTTATCACTTAAAGATATGCACTTAAAGATCAAAGTACTGGCTATGGTTGTAGCTCAGTGGTAGAGCCCTTGCCTAGCATTTGTGAAGTACTGAGTTCCTTCCTCAGCATCACATAAAAAAAAGATATAAAAAATACAATAGCATTTAAAAATAAAAGATTGAAGTACTAACTCAACTTAGAGAGGTCAGAAATGACTCCCCATAAGGGGTAGCATTAGAATCATCTTGATGACAGAGTAGCAGTTTGACAGGTAGACCATGTAGAAAAGGACTTTTTTAGCTCTCATCCAGGCCAAGGATAGGGTTTTGAGTGACAGGAGTTGGAAAGGAAAGATGATTCCAGAAATTTTGGAAGGAAATGGCTGGTTCTACAGTCTGCAGCAAAGAACATGATTAAATATGCAAATGGAAATCTAAAACTTAGAGACCAGGAGATCCTGGACTTACTTGTTCATTACTGGGAACAAGAAGTAGTTGCATGAATGGCGAAATTTCCCCATTTGAAGGGATGTGGCTCAAGTGGCCATATCTCAAACACACCAGCTGGGGTTTAGGGATAGGGTTGTACACAGCTTCTCAGAGATCCTTTGATAGGAGTGAGGCATTTATTTTAGCTGGATCTAAAATAAATAAACTGGGGGTGGAGGCATAAAGACCAAAGGAGGAGGAGGCCATGAGCAAGGTTGGGGAGTTGGTAGCCCCAACTGCTAAAGTTTCTGGAAAGGTAAATGGAGGAGCTAGGAGGATGGGGATTTAGTGATCAAACATGGTGGACCCTGAGCTAGGAGGGAGAAAGAGAACAGACATAGGTAAGCCAGATCAAAAGAAGGAGGGGAGAGAAAAGGAGCAGTGAAGCTCACGGAGACCCTTTAAGGTCACCACATCAGGTGGTGTAGAGACACAGGCTTCAGTCATGGCCATCTGAGGTATCACAGGGAGCTCTGAAGAATGAGCCCAACTCTCCGGCCCACTCATAAGGGTTCCAAATCCAGACACGATCTAGCTTGGCTAGGTCCTTTGCATCCCTGTTTCTTGTGCCCTCCGGCTGGGCTTTTGCCATTTTTGCCAAGACTGACTGGAGTGATTCAGCCTTCAGCAAGGGCACTGGCTCAACCTCTGAGGTTCCCAGGGTTCCCAGGATGCAGGCCTAACCCATATTTTTCTTACTTGAGAGACTTCATTGAAGAACCTAGATTTCTATGCATTGGCCTCAGGAGAATGCCAATGCTCAACACAAGACTCTACATTCAGGCAAAATGACCCTCACAACACGTTTTACAAACCTGCATTCCTTGTTAACACTAGACTATTGAGAGGTTTTACATAAAGATTCCCTGAAGGAATGAGGGTGCAATTCAGTGGTAGAGTTCCTTCCTAGTATACATGAGGCCCTGGGTTCAATATCCTACACACACACAAATACACACACACACACACACACACACACACACACACACACGATTCCCACCAGTCTGCACATCTACAGCTGGCTGGAGTTGATGATAGTTGTCCTTCAAACTTAGACCTGAGCCCTCCAATTCACACCAGCTGTCTTCCCTCACTTCTGTTGCCTTTCTGGCCTGGAGGGCATTTGAGTTCAAGACCCTGGACTAGGCTTTGAAAGGGAAATTCAAGGAGCCTGACACCCCTTTTGGACTGCAGAGGCTTCCACAGAAACTAACCCACTCATGTTCATAGCAACCTAGGACTTGGGCAGTACAAGAAATTCTTACCAATTGGGGACAGGGTCTAGAACTGGCAGTGGAGCTGACTGAAGTTGCTTGGCCTCCATGGTGGGGATGCTGGTGCTTGGGCCTCCTCTGTGGAGTCTAGTTACTCCAGATAAAGCCTGTGGTCTGGTCGTGGTGGCCTGGTCTGACCTACCTGGGTGGCTCAAACCAGTGTTCCAGGTCCATCCACCCATCTCTCCCTCAGACTCGGGCTCAGGCCTGACCACCCTCTGCCTCTCTCCCTGCAGGGGGAGCTGTTGAGCCCGTGCCGCTGCGATGGCTCAGTCAAGTGCACGCACCAGCCGTGCCTCATCAAATGGATCAGCGAGCGGGGCTGCTGGAGCTGTGAGCTGTGCTACTACAAGTACCACGTCATTGCCATAAGCACAAAGAACCCTCTACAGGTGAGCCTGGGGCCTGGGGTGGAGTGGGGAGGGCACTGGAACCTGGGGCCTCCACCCTGGCTGCTTCCTGGAGCAGCTTGGAGCTCAGGGGAGGCCTGCCAGCAGGAGGTAATGAAAGATATAAAAATTTTTTTTCTCTTAAGCATCAGCAATAAGAGGAAGGGACGGGGCAAGAGGGAAATAGATGTAGAAGGAAAGGAGCCAGGAGAATCTGATGGGAGAGAGAGAATAAGACAGACAGTGGGTGAATTGAAGAGTGAATGGTGAGCTAAGTCCAGTGGTGCACACCTGTAATCCCAGCCTCTTGGGAATCCCAGCCTCAACTCACTGAGGTCCTAAGCAACTTATCGAGACCCTGTCTCAAAATAAAACATAGAAAGGGCTGGGGATGTGGTTCAGTGTTAAGTGATCCTGGGTTCAAAAAAAAAGTGAATAGGGAAAGAAAGGAAGAAGGAAGTCAAGAAGGAAAGGGATAGGAAGAAAGAGAGAAATAAAAAAGGGAGGGAGGGGAAACAAGGAAGGAAGTGAAGAAAGGCTAAAAGGCAGAAGAGAGCAAGACATGGGGAAAAGACAGGGTGGGAAGGGCAAGAAGGGCCGAGTTGAGTCCAGGGCTGGAAAAGAAGAAATAGCAGCAAGAAAACTCAGCAGCCCTTTTCAAACTTTAATGTAACTGGAATTTTGTCAAAATGCCAACTAAGATTCAGTGGGTCTGAGGCAGGGCCTGAGAATCTGCATTTCTTACAAGTTATTGGGTGATGCTCTCGCCGCTGGCTCAAATCACACTTCCTGTGACAAGGAACAAAGAGAAAAATGGAGAGGAGACAAGAGAGGGAGGCAGAGAAGAGAGGGGAATAAGGAAGGAAGAAAGAGAAAGGGACAGCGTAGGAAAAGGCCACCGGGAGAGGAGAGGGTAGGCAGGGCCAGAACTGGGTCACGCCTACCAAATGGGTTCCAGCAGAACTCAGGGCCCCCCTGCCCATTGCCTCCCCTCCTGCCCTGCCCTGATGCGTTCATCTTTTCCCGAGGAGGTAGCAGGCCCTGCGCCACCCTTGCCAATCCCCCCAATCAAGCAACTCTCCCTGCAGGGTGCACACACACATAGAGAGCTCTTTTGCTTCTGGAAATACCTCCACATATGCAGGATCAGCCAATTAAGCTGCCACATAATCAATTAGCCAGCATGACAGTGAGGATGGGGACTTTGGTCTCCAGGCACAGATTCCTCCTCCTCCTCTCTGAGGGGGCAGAGAGAGAGAGCCCTGGGAGCTGGGGTTCAGCAGTGATGGGTGGGGTGGGTCCTTTGCATGAGGCATAGTTTGAACCCCTAAAATGTCCAGGGCTTTTTATTTTAAACCCTGTAGAATTGTCCATGAGGTACTCCCAGGAATGAGTGAGAAAATAACAGACAGACAGACACACACACACACATACAGAGAGAGAGAGAGAGAGAGAGAGAGAGAGAGAGAGAGAGAGGGAATATCTTATGTGCGTGAAGCAGGGGGGTAGGTGTCTTTCCAGAATCTCCCCCCTTTCCTTCTTTCTAAGAGAACCCCACTGTGGTGGGGTGTTGCTGGAAGGTGGCATTAAAAGTCTCAGGCACCTCAGCTCTTAATGGTGAGCCACAGGGTCAGAATGAGAGGTGCCCCTCCCTGCCACTGCTCCCATCTTCAGCCATTTGCTTCAAAATCTTGAAGTGTCTTAAAATAGCAGTGTCACGAGACAGCTGATTCCACGTCCTCTGGGTGCTGGCGGAGGTCTGAGTGCATTAACCACCCCTTCCTTTGCAGCTGACTCAAGCCTCAAGAAAGGTCAGATCCCAAATTCATCAGCCCAGCACAAAGTACCCACCTCTTGGCTCCACCCCTAGCTCATATAATGAAAAGCCATTCAGGAATAGCCTTTTCCTAAGGGTGAAAAAGAAGAGCTTATTCTCATCATGTAAGTCAGATAAGCAAGTGGAAGCGTTGGCAGTAATGGCCTATTAATCCATTCTCAAGTTACTACCCTGCCTTCAGTTGTGAGTTTCTGGACCCTGATGACCCCTCTGGTTCTGCTGGTTCTTAGCATTGGTGTGTGCTCAGTAAATGCTGTTTCCCTTTCGCAGAAGAAGTAGTTGGACTAGAAGTTGTGTTGTGTGTTTGTGGCCCAAACTGTCCCACTTATGTGACCTGGTCTTCTCTGGCCTATCCACATATGAGACCGCTGCCTCCTCAGCCTCAGTGGACAACCTCTGTACCCACAAACTGGCAGGATCATCTGTAGAACAGGATGGGGCTGGCAGCTCTGATCACAAGCAAGCAGAGCAAAGGGTCTGCTCTCTGAGGGTCATGTTCCTTCTAGGTCTCTTGGGTCTCTCAGCTCCTGATTCGTGCCATATGCAAAGCTATAGGAAATAGCACCACTATTCACCATGCAGCAGTACCTCAGTGACTGTCTCTCTGAAAGCAATGTTTCCAGCCAGAATAACCATAGGAAAGGAGTCACAGCATACCTTGTGGGTCTCAAGTCTCCATGGCTGCTACACCTAAACTGCAATTATAGCAGACCTCCCTTTTCCATGATTTTCCTTTCTGTGGTTTCAGTTAACCATGGCCAACTGCAGTCCAAAAATTTAAAATGGAAAATTCCAGAAATAAATAATTCATAAGTTTTAAATTGCATCCCATTCTGAGTAGCATGATGAAATCTCATGCTGTCCTGCTCCATCCTGCCTGGGACATGAATCATCCCTTTGTCCAGAGTATTTACACTGAATATGTTACCTACCTGTTAGTTACTTAGTAACTGCCTCAGTCATCAGAACAACTGTTGTGATATCACATATAGTGCTTGTATATAGAATTCAGTACCTGCTGAGGTTTCAGATATCCACTGGAGGTCTTGGATTGTACTCCCCTTGGATAAGGGGGGACTATAGTTTATTAATAAATATGTAGTTAGTGCTTATTAGGTGCTAGTCAGTGTTCTAAATATTCATATATATTGCCTAATTCAATCCTGAAAACAACGCAGTGAAGTGGGTACTGTTATTCCCAATTTACAGATGAGACAATGGAGGCACAGAGGGATTTGATGGTCTTCCCAAGTTTGCATAGTAATTAAGTGGTAGAGCAGGGTTGCTATCTGAAGATACTCCTGGGCTCAGGCTCTTAACCTGTCCCCAGAGTGCCCATGCACCCTGAGGACTACAACTGTCTTAACAGGCTTATCTGTTTTTGCTGAAACAATACACTGGCTTGACAGTTTTTTCATTTAACCCTCACGATACTCTAGAAAGCAAGAAGGACCAATTATTTCTATTTTTATAGAAAGAAAATTGATAGTCTTCATGACTTATTGGCTTCTCACTCACACTCAGCAAGTCTGAACAGAGCTCAACTAGAATCAGGTCTTCTGACCCCTGCTCCACGCCCCTATCTGTTATATATACTGTCTTCCTGCTCTAGCCCTTGGTCTCTCATTCACTTGTGCAGCAGGGCAGGAATGGAGATGGAGAAGACTCATGATATCAGGGTCAGAATCTTTGGACAGAGGTTTCAAAGTTGCAGGTGTCTGGTGAAGCAGAGCCCGTACCACTGACACCTCTCCCCCTCCCAGCCTTCCTTTGAGATTTCAGAGCTCTCTCCTTGGAGTGGCTTCCCCCACGTCTCTGTGGGGTGTCACATGGAAGGCATAGGAGGAGAGTTCTTATCCATAGCACCCCAATCTGTTCCTTCATCATGCTTCACACTGAGGTCAGGAGCCCTGTTAGGCTCCTAGGTTCTGCAGGTGACTTAGGGGTGGTAGAAGAGGTCAGGGATGAGGAGGACTTTTTTGCCTCTATATTTGGGGCTCTTGAAGTCTAGAGGAATAGAACAAGTTGAGATTTACTGATGCCTCAATGATAAACAGGAAATGCTCACTCAGGAGCTCTCCCTCTAGGCAGTGGGGCAGACCCTGGGGAAAGCATTTGTTGTTCACAAGAGAAGTCTATGTGATAGGGCCATCTTCTGGAAATCTCCTTTGTTTTGTGTAACCCTAGGCTGGGAGATGCAATGGAAAGTTTAAAGGCCCAATTCCCTGTAATGGGATGCTATCTCTATCATTAAAGGTCAAGGCCAATGTCCTACATTTGGACTAGCAAGTGCAATGTTTCCCAATGGTTACGATTTCTCAGGAGGCCACTGGCCAGTGCCTGTTCCAGGTCGTTGAAGGCAAGGTGAGGGCTCCCTGTTTGCAGGAGCTGGGCCTGTCCTCTTGCTCAGATGGCAATGCTTCCTGGGGGTATTCCCAGTAGGGCACTATGCATACCCCTCCAATCAGGAGATCTCCTTGCCTCCACCTTCCCAAGTCTGATCCTGTCAGCTATACCTAAAAACCATTCACGCATTACATGTACTCTTAGGCAAAGTCCTAGATCTGTACGCATTTTACAAAACTCTGCATGGTCTTCCCTTTCGCCATTGTCTCACCTCAGTCTCTTGCTTCCTCCCCTCCATTCACTCTGATCTCCATCCAGGTTTTCATACGTATTGTGCTTTCTTCTGAACAGGGCCTTTGCACATGCTCTTTCCTCTGCTTGGGATACTCTTTCTTCCTCTATTTGCCTAGTAAACTCCTACTCAGTTCAAGCATCATCCTACGGGAAGCCAAATGCCCTATCACAGACTTTCCCAATACCATGTACTTCCTTTTTTTACCCGAGATGAATCATAGTTGTGAATTCACAGGGCTATGCTTCCTACACTGTGAGCTTCATTGGGGTGGGGTGGGGTGTGACCTTGTTTTTGCCTAATGCTTTATCTCTGGCACGTAGAACAGTGGCCAGACACATGAAAGTTACTTAACACATAGTCGTTGAGTGATAACATAAATAAATAACCCCAAAACTGAAATCCAACTCTTGGCTTATTTAAGCAAGTACTGCCTGGACCTGCTGTGGAATCATAAAATTCCAAAGCTGAAACTCACCCACACCCTTCAATTCATCCATCAGTACTGCTATAAGTACAGTACTTTTTCTGTAAAAGAAAAAGAAATATCAGTATTAATATACATTCAGTAAATTATAAACTATTTTTCTTATTTCTCCCCCATATCCTGTTTTCTCCTTAACTATTGAATTGGTAATCTCTAGCGTGTATATTAAATGGCATGCAGGATGGTGTTGTAGAAACAAAACAGGCAGGAGAGAGACCTGTGACCTTTCAAAACCTATTTGTGGGAAAATAAACTGTGTTGCTCTGAAAAGAAGATTCTGAAGCCCTGAATCACCACCCACACTTAGTCTATTTTCTTTTTCTCCTTCCCATTTCTCTGTCTGTTTAATAATCAAATATATAAGGATCTTCTTCTTAGCTATGCCTGCCCAGAACTCTCTCCTTACAAAATTTGTGATCATTTCATGGGATGTGGTTTTCCTCTGCATCAAAAGTACAATGTAAAATTGCAAAAATATTCATTGTAGTACAAGTTGAGAAGCTCTAATTTAAATTCAATATCAGAGGTGAGCTGTTAGAGCAGGTGGAAGAAGGATGAAAATGGGTAAGGGCATCCAAGCAACAGCTAACCTGCCACTCTCTCCTTCCTAGTGGCAGGCTATCTCTCTGACAGTCATCGAGAAGGTTCAGATTGCGGCCGCCATCTTGGGTTCCCTCTTCCTCATCGCCAGTATCTCTTGGCTCATCTGGTCGACCTTCAGTCCCTCAGCAAAATGGCAGCGCCAAGACCTCCTCTTCCAGATCTGCTACGGGATGTATGGCTTCATGGACGTGGTGTGCATAGGTGGGTCCGTGGGCTTGTCTTCAAGGGAGGTGGGGAGCCATGTGCTGATGAGGTGGCCAGAACCCTCAGGATCTCATCCCCTGGAAGCCAAAGCAGAAATGGCTCCAAGTTCAAGACCTATGAGCTCAGGAGAGGCCATAGCTGAGATAGGAGAGGGAGGAAGCAGGACAGGGAAGAAAGATCAAAACATACGCAAGTAAATCTGTCTTGCCCAGCTGAAGACAAGGATAAGGAGGCTTGCAGGTAAGATTTGAGAGGTCAGTTGGTCAGTCCATCTGCCTCAGGCAGGCTGTGGAAAACCTCTTCTGTGTTATATGCCCCTTGGCTGTCCTGTCATGACAAGGGATGTCTATACAATTCCATTCTCTTCCCAGCAAAATGCTCAGAAATAGCTGTCATGGTATTTGCCTCACTCCTCCCCCAGTTTTATATAATCCTACTCCAATGCCCTAAATTTCTCCAGTCCAGTGGTTTTCAAACTGTGTGTAGTGCTGGGGTTTCATACACAGCTCCAGAAACCATCTTTGAAAGTAGGAAATAGAATGCTACACAGACAGGTTCTGAATCCTCACCACTGCTTCACCCTGAGTTTTTGTACTTTTATCTATTTACATATATTTCTGTTTCAGGAAAGATTTTGTTTAAAAAGCTTTGGTGTTTTGGAAGAATTTGGAATCCATTGCTTTACTTCTTGCTTCTTCTCTTACCCTGTCATGTTCCTTTTCTCTTCTACCATGACTAGTGGAGGGCTGGGTCCTTTTTGTCCCAATAGATAATTATGGCTGTCAACCTCAAAGGATTGGTCCAAGCAACTGAGGAGGCAGAGAAGGGCCCTGGCTTTTCTGAGTGAAATGAAGCATGAGTAATCCCTGGCTATACCTCCCAACCTGGAATGCTTGGTATCCCCTATGCAACAGGAGTGGGAGCATTAGCATTCCATGATTGTCTTCTCTGGGCACTAGTGTGTGTATTATATTAAATATACTCTGCTTCTCTGTTTGGCAGGAAAACATCTATTAGAATTTGGCTAGGATAATGTTGATGTGAGTTTCTTTGGGGTTCTTTAATATTAGGAATCAGAAAGACCAAAAGACTGGCATACTGATAGCAACAGCTTCAGACCAGTGATGCTAGAACTTGTGAATTTATCTAAGCCATCTTTCTGCCTCTCTATGCTAACGAAATCAATATATCAAGCCCAAGTTCAAGAGCCTTGTAATTATGGCCCCTATGCAGTGAGAGAAACAGACAGCCCAGGTGTGAAGGATTGTGGAAAAGAAAAGACTATGAATAGGGAGGAATTTGACATTGATGCATTCAAATCTACTTTCCCATCCCATAAAACTCTCTCCCTACTCCTGCTGAGGTCTGGGTTGTTAATGCCAAAATCCAGGTGTCTCCATATGGAGGATTATGGCAGCTCTGGCATGGAGGTGAGAACAGTAGAGGGGCTTCCTGTGGGGGCTCCTCCAGCTGCCCTTCATTCTCTTTCAGGTAGACAGTAGGTCTGTTCCTGAGGTGTGCTTCTATGATTTTCCTGTCATGTAGTGTATTAGTTTTCTCCTTCAGGTAGACATTAGGTCTGTTCCTGAGGTGTGCTTCTGTGATTTTCCTGTCATGTAGTGTATTAGTTAGGTTTGGCTGCAGTAACAAAAAAATTCCCTCAAATCACAGTTTCTTCAACAAACATTTCCCATTCATGGGTTTGTGAGATAGTTAAGACTCTGCTGGTGGGTTGGTGTTGTAGCTCAGTGGTAGAGCACTCACCAGCACATATGAGGCACTGGATTTGATCCTCAGCACCATATAAAAATAAATAGATAGATAGATAGAGGTATTGCGTCCATCTATAACGAGAGAGAGAGAGAGAGAGAGAGAGAGAGAGAGAGAGAGAGAGAGAGAGAGAGAGATTGACTCACTTAAAAAAAATTAAAAAGAGAGAGAGACTGCTGAGCTTGGCTTGGTTTAGCTGCTGGCTGTGCATTGCTTTCAGGCCCACTCCCAGTGTCTACTCATGCTGGGACCTGGGCTAAAGGAGCTGAGACTACTAAGATTAAGATGTGCTCTTCTAGCCAAGTGCAGAAGTACAAGAGGATTGGTGGAAATTTTCTCAAAGCTTCTGTTTATAACTAGAATACTGTCCCTTCTGCAGACAGCTCAATGGCCAATGCAGCCACCAAAATGCCCAATGTCAATAGGGTTGTAGGGCAGAGAAGTATGCTTCTCCTCACCCAGGGACAGTGTGGCTGAGAGAGATGAGCATAAATACTGTCTACTGCTTATAGTGCTACAGATTACAGGTCTGCTCTGAACATAGAAGAAACTATGCAGTCAACCAGAACAACTCTCTTGTTTTGCAACTGAGAGACATGGGGTTCAGAGAAGTGAAGTAATCAGTTCAAGGTACTTGGCTGAGCTTAGAAGCAAGGTTGACTCGTAGTCCAGTTTTCTTTCCATTGGCCCTCTTACATCAGGTATCAGGAGTCTCAAGGCTTCCTTTATGTGATACTTACAGATGCCACCTATGCCACCTATGACTTCAAGTATACCTGACCCTGTTTTATAGAGGGAGCCACCTCCCTGGGGCTCTGAGCCACAGCACTCCTGCTTTGGCCTATATGGGGCTCTGGTCTCTCTTGCTCCCAGCATCTCTCTGAGCAGGGTTCCATGCCACTACTTCCTCCTCTGTCTCTTGTTTGGCTCCTCTCTCCCTGCCTGCCTTCCCCCCAGCCAATTTCTATCTCACTAACTCTTTCTCTTCTGGTATGCATGTGACACTGAGTCCTTTATTTTCTGGGATGAACACTGAGAGTTCTCACATTATTTCTCCTCTTCCCTGCTTTTAGGAAAGAATAATTTCCCAGGACACAAAGCCATATACTCTATCCACTCTGCTCAGATAATCCAGTGACAGTTTGGAAATAGCCATGGGGTAGGAGGGGAACACATAGAGACCCTAACAGCTTTTGGTGACCTCACCAAAAAAATCAGATAATAGATTGATGTATAAGAATATTTCTATCACTTTATTAGTTATAATTGGAGTTAATTCCATTTCAGAGCATGTCCCTAGGAGCAAGGACTATTCTTTCCACCTTTAGGGCTGCAACTCTGAGACTAAACTCTGAGACTAAATGTAAGGTGGCAGGTCTATCTTAGGCTGAGTCAGGCAGCAAAGTGAGACTCTCAGTTTTGTGTTTTCCTAGAAGAACTGTCTGTCCATAGGAGAAAATGCTAGGAGATGAAATAAAACAGAGAGTGATACAGCAGATACTCTCTGTGATATGTGGCCTAGAGAAGGGAGTAGGAGATGACAGGCTGTAGTCAGAACCCACAGATTCTTGTGGTAGTTGTGATGATGGTAATGATAATGATGTTGACAATGATCCATGGTGACAATGATGGTTTTGAAGGGGAAATTCAAGTAGCAATTATTCCCTCTTCTGCAGTGTTCTGACCAGTAGAGTAAAAAAACATAGCACTATACAAGTGAGTATAAAAATATCTGCTTTTTAGGGACTTTCTGGGGGAACAATCTGGCAGAGACTGCTATGCCCACTAGAGATCTTTATTTCAACTGAACATTCAGATCCTCAGGGTCCGCTAGAGAGCACACTGGGCATTGGAGTCATTGAGAGAAAAGTAAGGTGGCATGTCAAGTTTACCTCTGCAGGGGAGTTCTTGTTGCACTCCACACCCTGCCCAGGGCTCACCTCTTGGCTCAAGAACAAGGAGATGACAGCCATCAGGTGGGTGCAGGTCCAATTGAGCAAAGTTTCTAGGTATGCCTGGAAATGTTGGTTGAAAAATGTTGAGTGAAAGAATCCTTTTCCATAGACACAAACTCCTTGGGTGGTGGAGCAATTCAGCACCTGGATGATTATCACCAAGAGACAAGAAAATGAGTCTAGTTCTGTATTAGCTCAAAAGGCTGAACCAGAGAAGAGGAATAAAACCATCTGCTGTTATGATTCTATGGACTTTATTTTTGCAGTTATCAGGAGCAATTTATCTATTCCTCAAGTTGGCTAAATGGCCACAGATAGAAAAGAATATGAGTAAACATAAAATGGCTTATTTTGATGAATTCTTAATATATATATATATATATATATATATATATATATATATATATATATATATCTTTTCTATTGGAGTTGTATTCCAAGGGAGAGATCACAAGAGTGGGTAGGACTCTGAGGTGAACTCTACCAGGAGCTAACAGCAGATACTATCTACCATGAAGCCAAGAGGATGCAGAGGCTGGAACATGGCCTGCTCGCTGCTCAGGAAACATGTCAGCTGTCTTCCCTGGTGAATTCCAGAACGACCAGTGGTCAAGAAGACCCCATCATAGCAATAACCCTAAAATGGTTGCCAGGAAGTTCTGGGTTCCCTACTTGTTGCAGCACACCTCCGGGTTTGAGGTTAATGGCTCTGAACTTGGTCATATAAGAGGGTTGGGCATTTAGCGATACAAGCTTCTCCTATAGATAAAGCATCTCTTGGCTTAGAGTTCTAATTTTTCTGTACCAATGCATGTCACTATGAAAGCCAATATAAGTTGTTGAGGACAGAATGAACTACAAAATTCCTACAAGAAAATGATGAAGGATACAACAATCTTAAAAGATAAGCAGGGTAAGTACTATGACCCATGTTTAACAGGAGAGGAAAGGCTTAAAGCTGTTGTTCTCCAGGTCATACCACTAAGCAAATGGTGAAGCTGAGGATGGGATCGAGAACCTCTGGCTCCAATTCCGGGGCACTTTTTATGCCAATTTTATTTCTGAGTGCTCTGTGAAGTTGCCTCCAGCAATCAAAGATACCCCCAACCCATGCACTGCTGTAACAGAGGAGAGCGTGGGTAGAGGTGGGACGAGAGAAGTTGGCCCAGTAATTGCATGTAGCAATCAGAACTTCAGTGAACCCCAGCTGCTCCTGTCTTGCGTTCAGGGTTCAGGAGGTTAACCATTGTCACACCTCCTTTTGGATCAGTG